AATCCCAGGTTCACCATTTACTTGCTGTTGACCTGGTGCAAATGATTTAGTCTCAGTTTCCTCATCTGTAAAATGGGATGACAGTATGTATGTACCTCATTGCAGTGTTCTGTGGGTTAACAGAAGCTTTATACCACGTGACACCACGAGGGGGCGCCAGCAGAATGGGTTGGCTGGGGGATGCCCTTGCCCCTTAACTAACCCAAACTTTGCTGCAGTACAAACAGGGAAACTAAGGCCAGAATCAGTGCAGTGGGTGATGGACCAAGTCCCAGTTGGCTGGCCTGAGACTCCAGGCCTGTGAGGATGGGTCAGGCTGGAAGGAGTAGGAGCCAGATGTCAGCTCCAGGGGCCAGGGAGGGACCAGGTTGGCATCCATGGCAGGGGCCTGGGCTAGGGTGGCAGCTAATTGCTCAAACAGCCCCCTCAGGACCCTTTCCCAGGCTGGCTGCCTGCTCCTGCATTCCTTCCCCAACCCTAAGACTCCTGGAGCTCCCAGACCAGCCCCGGAGGGAATGACCAGTACCAGGGAGGAAAGTCCAAGGGGAAATAATGGCCAGGGGGATATAACAGCCACAGGAAGCCCTGATTCTTGCCAACAGGCATAACTGAGGGCCTACTGCTTGTCTGGGGCTGCTAAGTGGCCCTCACACACAGCCCATTTATAAAGCCCTCATGGGACCCTACTAAATCAGAACCATAACTATACCCATTTTGCATAAGAGGAAACAAACAGCTCAAGAGAGGGGAAGTGACTTGCTCAAGGGCACACAGCCAGTGAGTAGTGGAGTTGAATAAGAACCCAGATCCGTCTGCCTTCAAGGCCTCAGCTCCTGGGACACTGGACCCCAGCATCTGGTGAGAATCCCACAAAGAGGGGAGCGAGACATCCCTCCCCAGCCCAGCCCCCACCTTTGAAGCCCTCCTCGTCCACCATGAGCGTGTAATCCTCGGGAGTCTCCGTCAAGCTGAAGAACTTGCACCTGGTTGGGGGTGGGGGGATTTTCAGTCTGGGTTGGGGGGAGGGGGCAGGTAGACTTCGCTCCATCCGCCCCTAAAGACCCCCCGTCGGGCTTCTCCCAGCCCCCTCAAGCCTCAATTTTCTCCCAATGGCTGTGGGCTGTGGACCCCAACTACTGAATAGCGAATTGTTTTCAACCTTCTGACCTTCGCAGGAGCCCCCCGCCCCTCCATTCCAAGAGGGAAGAGAGGCTCACCCGCGGCGATAGCCCCGGGGCATCGGACCTTGGGGCCCCTAGACCGGCCCCCTCTGACCCGATGGGAGGCGTCTGGAAGAAACTCTTCGCAGTCGCCAGGAAGGAATGCTCCCATCTGACACCACTCGAAATTAAGCATTGCACACCCCAGGCTGTTTGCGCCTTAACTGGCCCCGGATAGGCGGCGGTCCCACGGAGTGTAAGCGCAGGCCGGATGGCGGCCACGGGGGTGGGGTGGAAGGGCCCTCCCCGCCCGCTCCCGGTCGCCCCAGCTCGCCTCGTGGCGACTCTGTAATTTCCCGACCCCGTACCGGAGCGACAGTGGAGCCCACCCCAATCTGTGCCCCGGAACCCGGGCGCGCACCGGCTTCGGCGGGGCAGGAATAGCAGCTTGATAAGCGGGTGCGTGTAGAGCCAGAGACCGGGGCGGGCGAGGCTCAGCACCCGCACCCGGTGCTCTAGGATGTGCAGCTCCATCGCGGTCCGCGCGGACCGGACCCCGCCGCCAACCAGACCCAGGCCGCGCCGGGGGCGGGGCAGGCGGGGGCGGTGCCGGAGGCTTAAAGGAGCCGCGGCGCGGCAGTGTCCACGCTCCCGGCTACGTCCCGAACCCGCCCAGCCCCACGCCGCGTCCTGCTCTCTGACGGCCACGCCCTGAGGGACTCGCGCCCTATCCGGGGTGGCCACGCCTCCTTCTAAAGCCAGAGCCTCACCCAACTCCTCTAGTCCACCGAGCCCCGCCCAGGATGACTCCGCCCCTTTAACATTGGCTTCGGGAATCACCAGGGGACCTCACCCCCGTCGAGTCCTTCAGACCCCGGTGATGCTGCGCCCTCCCTCGGGGCTCCTCCCTCCGGGCTCCTCCCGTTCTGCCCTTCGAGCCTCTGATGGGAAGCCTGCGTGAAACATGGGATCCTTTATGTACTTTGGGTCCCCATGTGTGTCTTATGATTGAGGTCGTTGAGGCTTGGAAGGGCCGTGAGGTGAACCGGGACTCAGCTGGGACCAGAGTGTTGCCCCCAAACTCCTGGAGCATGGAGGGGTAGGGGTCCGCTCTGCAGCCCGATGACCCTATGATTCTCTTCCAACAAAGTATCCTGGTGCCTTTTTCCCTACTTCCTTTCATGGAAGAAGGCTCCCCACTAGGGTCACAGAGATAGAAAGGGCCCCATCCACCTCTGTCTGAGCAACATACTGTTGGGTAGGGCTCTGAAGGTGGTCAGGCCTAAGGCGGCCCCTCAAAACACAGTGCTTGGGCCAGGAATGCTCAAGGCTCAGACTTCAGGGTACTCAGATCTCAGATCTGAGACTTGAGCCCTGCTGAGGCCTCCCAAAGCCTGCAGCCATTAGTAGAACCCAGTTGGCCTGAGCACATCTAAACTTGCTTCAAGCCCAAGAAGGCCCCCAGCACTGGCAGATGCCCCAGATCTGAGGCTTGTGAGGACCAACTTGGGCTCGTTTCAACGTGCGGACTGGGTACTGCTCAGGCCTCCTCAGGTCTAAGAAGACCCCAAGGCTGAGCAGGCATCCGCACACCTAGGTTGCTGGCGTAGCAAGACTGAGCATGCTCTGGGGGACACTTGTCTGGGCAATGCATCCTCAGGCTTCAAATCTGAGGCTTTGAACCAAGCAGGTTAAAGCAGGCCTGCACAGGCCTCCTGCCTGCTTATGAGCCTCCACTGTAGGTAGATGGAAACAGGGCAGTGCCTTCCCCCACTGGACACTCTGGCTCCGTGGGTTCATGTGGAATACTGTGCAGTTGCCACATCCTGGCCTGTCCCCTGGAGGGTCAGTGGGAGGGGACTGTTCTCAGAGACTGAGCCCCTCAATTATCGATGGTACAGATGGGGTGGGAAACCACAGGAGGGAGGGTTGGGAGGCAGAAAGTGGATGGCCTAGATAGGCTTATGTGAACTTTGACCTCCTCAGGCCTCAGTATCCCCAGCTGTACCAGGACAAGTTGTCCCAGGCTGAAGCCCTGGGATGCCTGAAAATTCCTAGGGAGGCTCTACTTCTCTCTCTCCTGTCCCCTCCCCCCACGGCACAGCCCAACTTGGTGGCCTGCCAGGAACAGCCGCTATTGTTTGACTGGAAAAGCTGCTTCCTCAGCAGAAGGTGGGGGGGCCTCTCCCAGGGACACTCTGTCCGTACCCTCGCCAGTCATCAGGTTGTGACCATAGCGCCTGCCTGGACCCTCAGTGACAGTTCACTTGGCACCCTAGTCAGGAGAGAGAGCTGAGGGGCTCTGGATGCAAATTTGGACCAGCTTCACCTTTCCCACTCAGCTCCTGTTTCTTCATCTGTCAAATGGGGATAAGAACAGAGCGTACCCGATCAGCTGGTGACACAAGCAGTCCAGTGTGGCACAAGTGCTCAGTAAATGACAGGCGGCCTTCTATCAAAGTCCCAGACTTCTCCCCTCACCCCTCTCCTCCAATGGAGGCCTGGGCTGAACATGTGAAGGCATTCATGGTCTCCCACCTCTGGCATTAGTACCCGACCCAAAATGAACACACTGAACCTTACTGGGGTCTGAAGAGGCATACAGGCCAGGCCGTGAAGCGGAAGGCCCTTCAGTAGACCTTCCCCGTAGTGATGAGTAGGGATCATCACTGGGCTCCAAGCCCTGGTGACCCTCACCCACGGCAGATGGTGGACATGGGGCAGAGGGATGGGGTGAGGGAAAACGGGGACCAGGAACAGGGGCTGGCCCTGGACTTGACATCCCTCCAGGCAAAGATACTTCTCAGAGAGGCTCTGGTGCTGGGCTGGGGCCAGGATGGGGGCTCTGTAGGGCGTGGAGAAGAAATGCCAAGCACCAGGGGTGGTACCCCCTTCCCAGTCCCTAGCTGTACACCAGATCTCTACACAAGCCTGTTTATTTCTGTACAAAACCATGTTTCTATTTACACAAAGAGCACCCCACCCTTTACCGCCCCGCCTTCCCTCATGTCAGCGCCCTAGCCCTGGGAGCATCCTCCCAGGAGGAGCAGCCTGAGTGAGGCCCTCACTTCTGCCTGCCCAGCTGGGCCAGCCCGAGCTCCATTCTGGAGAAAATAAATAAGGAGGCTCAGGCAGAGTTTGTGCTGGGTCCGCCAGACTCTACGCCCAATGGCCAGGCAGCCGAGCCCTCAGAGGGTAGGCAGGCCCTGGAGTGTCAGTCTGTGAACCATGTAGGTGTGTGGAGACCCCGCCCTGGAGGCCTGAGCTGCCGGTGTTACAAGTAGGTGTCCTCACTCTCCTGGGACGTCAGGCTCTCCTGGGAGTGGTGGTGGGCTGAATGCTGGGAAGCTGAGTCCTGAGGAGCTGAATCTTGGGGGGCTGGGTCCTGGTGGACTGGGTCCTTCGGGAGCACATCCTGTGGGGTACATGCATCTCCCACAGTGGGCACCACCGTGGCTTGACTTGGGGTCAGGGTCTTGTCCAGCTGCCCACTCGCCTTCGCCTGCTTCTGCTGCTCCTTCTGCTCCTTCTGGGTCTGCTTGGGTGGCTTGGGCTTGCCTTTGGAGCCAGGGAGGGGGGCATCTGGGGGCAGGCGGATGGACGGTGAGGGTTGCAGGGTGGGCCGGGGGCCTGGCTCTGCCTCCAGGATGGCCTTGGCGCCGTGCAGCCTAGGCGGGGAGCGGCACTGCAGCTCACCCCGGGTCTCCTGCCAGCGCCGCAGCTGGATGAGGTGCTCACGCTCAATCTGGCGCTCTGTCACTGGCAACTCGATCACCTGTGGGGGCGATGACAGACAGGTGGGCATGAGGAAGAAGCTCCCGCTCTACCTCCCAGCCTGGGCCCCTGCTCTGCCTCAGGGTCCCCCAGTCCTTGTTACTAAAGGTTGACCCTAGGAAGAATGAAGGTCTGGTCCCTGAGGTGGTCACAAGTCCCAGAGCCGAGTACCAGGTGAGCCAGGCCCTTGAGACCCACTGCCTCAGAGGAGGAAGCTGCCCACAACTCATGACTCCACTTGCTTAACTATGTGTTCCCTAATTACAGCCCCTGGGAGACAAAACTCCACAAAAGAAATAAAAAAGGGAAAATAAAACCAAGGCCATGGATGTGGTACCAGGGAGGAAGAGGGGGTGACTGGTTGCAGCTCCTCATTCCCAAGTGGTTCAGAACAGGGAAGGCCCCACAAACCTGGGCCTCTCTGTGCCCCCTCTTCTCATTCATAGAAGGACGAGGCCTACCCATACTATCCTGGGCTGCTGAGCACTGGGCCTGGCACCAGCGACTCACCCTCAAGGCCAGAGGGTTACCAGGCTCCCCTCCAAAGGGCTCCCATGTCTCCCCCTCCCTCCGGGTGGTGAGGGGAAGGTGTGGGCCGCACCTCCTGGACCAGGAAAGCCTCCTGCATGATCTTGGGGCTGAGGCTCCGCAGCCGCTCGATAGTCTCGTACTGACCCTGGCAGGCCTTGAGCTTCTCCGGGGAGCCCAACGCATGCTTCAGCAGCACCAGCCCTACCCGGAAGATGATCTTGACTCCTGCAAGGGGGGAAGAGGGGGAAGAAGTACAAGGGAAACTTTAGGGAGTTCCTCTAGAGCAGCGGTTCTCAACCTTTCACAGGGGTCGCCTAAGACCATCGGAAAACACAGATTTTCGATGGTCTTAGGAACCGAGACACGGCTCCTCTATCAGTCTCCAGGCCTACATGCAGATACGCCCACATACGAGTACCCGGCGACCCCTGTGAAAGGGTCGTTTGACCCCCAAAGGGGTCGCGGCCCACAGGTTGAGAACCGCTGCTCTAGAGACTGGGCTTGGGGCAGGGGTGCTCCCCTGAGCTCAGCCCGGCACCTTCACAGAAGAACATGTCCCAGACACGCAGCACGGAGCCCCAGGGCAGGGTGCGGGCGAAGGCACACATGAACCACTCTGTCATGTAGAGCAGCGGGTCGATCTTCTGCCGGCTGAGGTGCTTGTGGGCCACGGGTGACACCTTCTGCAGCAGCGAGAAAAGGATCTCCCCATCCAGCTGGATCGCCTCCTGCGGGGACAGTGAGGCCATGACCATGGGTTCATGGCAGCCAGGATGGGGACTATGCCCTGGCCCCCAGCACCAGGCAGGCAGCCAGCCTTGTGCTGGGTACTGGGATACAATGATGAGCAAACAGACAGCCTGTCCTCCTCATGAGCATGTAGTGAAAAGGGGCGTACAGACATGAGTCACAGGAGCAAAAAGGCTGGGGAGGGGAGGTAGGAGATGGGGGGAGGACTAAGTGCCCAGAACATGGCAGGAACAGCAACAGGAACACTGGGTGAGCACGTGCCGGAGATTCCGCCGGTCAGGGTGAAAGAAAGCTCCCTGAGGGCGGAAAGATGAGGGAAAGGAGGACTTCTCAGAGGAAGGAAGGGAAGGAAAGGCGCAGAGGTTTAAGCCTATGCTAAGACTGAGGCAGGAAGGAACTGGGTGCACTGGAGGAACTGTGATCCTGCCGAGAGGCCAGATGGCTGGAGGCTGAGATGGAGGCAAGTGTGGAACTGATGACGCTCGAGCCTGGGAAACCTGACCCTGGCAGGCCTGGGACTTCAGCCTGAAAGCAACAGAAGGCTGGGAAGGTTTCAAGTGAGGGCAGGAGTGCCTGTGGAGAGAAGGGCCTGGAGAGGCCACAAACAGTGTACAGCCTGGGGTAGGTTCCAGGCCAGGTCCGGGGCCCAACAAGCACTTACCAGTTTCTCACTGTAGTAGCCGGGCAGGTACTTCTCACAGATCTGCACCAGGCACCAAAAGGCTTGCTGTGGGCGAGAGAGACGTAAGGTCCTGCTGCTGGGTGTTCCTTGCCCACCCCCTTGCCCGTCCAGGGCCTGGTGGTACCTCAGCGGGCATGTGCATGAGCAGTACAGCAGCAATGGGTGCCTGGGCCTGGCAGTAGCCCTCCTCAGGTCGGTACAGCGTGTAGGCCTTCAGCACACGGAACAGGTCCTGCTGGCTGTGGAGAGGCCAAACACGGCAGGGATGACAGGTGTGAGTCTGTCACCCACTTCCCTCACCTGTGCCCCATTAGACCAGACCTATCTCAGAATTTGTACTTCTCTGGAGAGGGAACATGGCCAGACTGTGGTCACCAAGGGGTCTGTCTCCCAGTGCAGCACACAGATTCTCACATGACCAGAGGATGGAGGCAGGTGAGAGCAGAACCCCCATTTGACAGGTGAGAGCAGAACCTCAAAGAGAAAGCAGGGGGCAAGACCAGGGCAGGATACCAGGTACAGGGAGGGTAAGGATGTGTTGGGGGCTGGAAGCATGGGCCCCTCCCCCAGAAGCCACAGTCCCGGGTATCTGTCTTGGTTTCCTGGCCCACCACATCTCTCCCTTCCTACATATCTTCTGCTCACCTAACTATCTAACCCTCTTTCTCCCCACCAAAACCTGTTTCCAGAAGAGGGCCAGGCTGGGCAAGCTCTAATACTCTGGGGAGTAAATGATGCAAGTTGCCTCAGAGGTAAGAAGACACACTAAGAGGACCCATCAGACTCAAACGAAAGAAGGGAAATTCTAAAAGTGGAGTTTGGGGCCCACAGCTTCTGGGCCCCTAGGTGCCCCCAAACTCATTTTACCTCCTCTCACTCCTGAGGGACAGGGCCTCAAGCCACCACCAGACCACCACACCCAGCCTGCTCACCCGTGGCCCCCTCGGGACACAAACATCTCGTGGAAAGGGAACTGTCGGTGCAGGTCACGCTCAATCACATCCAGCCATTTGGAGTCCCCAGGGGACATGTCCAGCTCCTGGAAGCAAGGTCAAGGGCATATATTAGGAATGAGGGATGGCTAGGAAGATACAACTGTCCCAGGTATTGGAGTTGTCCCCCATCAGGGCAATGCCCACCCAATCCCATTAGGGACTGGGCCTTCCTTTGGACAGGTCAGGAAACCTAAGTAAGGAAGCCCGGGCAGGGGCAAAAAGGCAAGGGCAGGGAAGGGCCCTGGAAACCCTGAGGGGTGATCCTGGCTCCAGGAAGACCCGTGTGGGTAAAGAATGTCCACCATAGCTGTAGCTGCAAGTAACTTCTAAGTATTTCATTCAGGACTCAAACACCTTATATCAATCACATCCTTAGGATGGAAGACTACCGTCAAAACAATAGCTACCACCTGTTAGTCCTACTCTGAGCCACCTGTGGGTCTTACTGACTCTTCTCAGTCCCAAAAGACAGGTCCTATCATTACACTGTTCACAGATGAGAGTCAGAGAAAAGTCATTTGCCCAAGGCCTCCTGATTAGAAATTTGGTGGAGTTGGGCCGGAAAGCAAGGTTGACTCAGAGCCGTCGATCCCAACTCCTCTGCTATAATATCTGCCTCCCTGTGCAAGTGGAGCTGCCTACTCAGGAAGTGTGTGTGTGTGTGTGTGTGTGTGTGTGCGCGTGTGTGTGTGTGTGTGATCTACACACAGTGCTGTCTTGAAGGACATAACATTTGTCAAACCATTAACCTCAGAACCATCTCTGGGTACTGAGGTTTCAACAAAGTTTAACTCTTCTTTGAACTTCTGTGAACATTTTAAGCATGAGTACCATTTATAAAAACAAAGTACAGTTGACCTTTGCACAGCACAGGTTTGAACTGCATGGGTCCACTTATATGTGAATTTTTAAAAATTTACTGTTAAATTATAATTGATATACAATATTATATTCATTTCAGGTATACAACATAGTGATTAGACATTTATATACCCCATGAAGTGATCACCCCAATAAGTCTAGTACCCATCAGATACCATACAGTTATTACAATATTATTGACTATATTCCCTATGCTGTACTTTACATCCCATGACTATTCCAATTTGTACTTTTTAATCCTTCCACCTTTTTTCACCCATCCCCCAACCACTCCCATTTGGCAACCATCAATTTGTTCTCTTTATCTGTGAGTTTGTTGTTTCATTTTGTTTATTCATTTGTTTTGTTTTTTTTAGATTCCACATACAAGTGAAATCATATGGTATTTGTCTTTCTTTGTCCCACTTATTTCACTTAACACAATACTCTCTAGGTCCATCCATATTGTCACAAATGGCAAGATTTCACTCTTTTTATGGCTGAGTAATATTCCATTGTATGTATGTACCACAACCTCTATTCTTTTGTCTATCGATGGATACCTACGTTGCTTCCAAATATTGGCTATTGTAAATAATGCTTCCAAATATTTGCTATTGTAAATATAGGGGTGCATATATCTTTTCAAATCAGTGTTTTCAGTATACACAGATTATTATTTTGTTTTAAAGAGCACTTTTTTGGGGGGGAGAATTGGGGGAGGAAACAGCATCGGGGAATCAGGGAAGGGGAACAGACAAGTTGCTGTCCTTTTGTTCTTCAGTCTAGTTGTGGAGGACGTTGCTTCACTGGCCCATGTTGGTATTATTGCACTCTTCCCAGGTGAGGCAGTCAGTCGCCGGCCATTGGACAGCTGCTCACAGAGGCTCACGGCGGCTCTTGGCAGCTCACGCTGGCTGCCAGCCACTCACAGTAGCTTACGGCAGCCCACTACAGCCCCACTGCAGCCTACACTGTCACTGGCAACTCACGACAGCCCAGCTCCAGGTTGAACCATTGTTCACCATCTTAGCTGTAGAGGGAGCAGCGTCACTGGTCCATGTGGGATCCGAACCGGCGGCCCTGCTGCTAAGAGCTCGTGCTCCCAAGCCAACTCTTAACCAATGAGCCATTCGGCCGGCCCTATTCATAGATTTTTTTAAATCCTCATATAAGTGGGCACACACAGTTCAAGTCTATGTTGTTTAAGGGTCAACTGTATTTTTGATCCAAGGTTAGGAATCCGTGTAGGCAGAAGACTGACTTAAGTTATATGCAGATTTTTAACTGCATCGGGGGGTCGACACCCCTAAGCTCTGGGTTGTTCAAGGGTCAACTGTACTACACAAAGAAAAATCATTTCTTGGTCATCCGAAATGTTTAATATCTCGATCTGCATGTTGGTTACATGGATGTATATTATTTTCAAAACTCACTGAACTGCACACTTAAGATCTGTGCATTTTACTCTGTGTAAATTCATACCTCAACTTTAAAAGAAGAAAGAAAAAAAATCAATCAAAGGAAACCCAGAGCAGGGAAGCAGACTAAGTACACGTTGCCTGCAGGACGAGGGTAGTATCAGGGGAGGCCCCAGGAGGAAGGCTGGGTCCTCGGCAAACACACCAAGTGGGCATAGGCCCAGGCCCAGGCCCTGACCAGCAGGTGGCTTCATACAAGCCCCTTTATCTCAGCGGGGGTGTTCCAGCACTAAACTAAAGAACATGAGTACCAGGTAACTTGACATGTGAGGATAAGTACTAAGAGAAATAGCTGATGGAGTGGTCAAGGCTGGAAAGAGGTCGGGGAAGAAGGGGGGTTGTGGGGGGTGGGAGCTTCCAGACAGGGCCCTTGAGCAGGCACACAGCTGAAGAAGCGGGTGCTCAACCTCTACAGCCCCACGTGCCCTCAAGATTGGGGCCTGTGTGTGTTCTATGCACCGCCAAGTCAGGCCCAGGCCTGGGTACTATCTGAGTACAATGCAGGTTTGCTTTTGTCGGAAAAGGGAGGAGGGTCCCACAAATTCTCCTCAGGGTTCTTATGAGGTGGGACCTCAGGACCCAAAAAGTCAGTTCCTAGGATGTGCTTGCCTAGTACCTCAGCAGCCCAAGATACTCAACAATGCATGAGTAGGTGAAAACAGAAATGATGTAGCTGGAAAGCCTGTGGGGAGAAGGGACATTGGAAGTGAAAGGCAGGTCTAGGCCGCTGCAGATGCTGCTGCTCCCCAAGCCTCTGTGAGAGCCTGAAGGCACAGCATGAGGTGAAGCCAGAGAAGAAAAGGATGGAAGGTCCTGCCCTGCCCTGCCCAAGGAAAGAGGAAGAAATGGCAAGTGTCGGAGAAAACAGAGCCACCAGGGACAGCAGAGCCTGCCCTGACAGCTGAGGTTGGGGTTGCCCACCTGGGTCTGCACGGACAGGAACCAGTACGTGATCCCACCAGCAGCCCCTTCACTGTACCTCTGCTTTGGGCTTATGTGCCCACAGCAGCCAGAAAGAGCTTATCTCTGTCTGTTTCCTCTACTACGTCACTCACAGGCAAAGTCCTTCCAGCTGTGCTGACAAACCACTGTTCCAGCCCCCAGGACTGCCTCAGGGACCTACCACTCGGCTTCATGGCATCTTGAAGGCCTTTCTTGGCAAATCTACCCTCTTCCACAAGCAACCTTCAAGATCTCATAGGGGTGGCCCATTCCTATCCAGATGCACCACTCCTCAACACACACATAATGCACATACAGCTCCATGCTCTGCTGCTTATACAGGATGCACTCACACCTGCTAATAGAAGGCTGGCCAGGCTGCCCATGCTCTCAGCTCTCATGCTGTGCTCTGGCAGCCGGAGGTAAGCTATGGACTTGGGTGGGGTTCTCACCCCTGAGCCTGCCCCTTCCCCCAAAATGCGGCCCCCCGAAATAGAAGAGATGTAGCCAGTGGGAGGAAGACTCGAATTGAGAGGCCGCTTGAGTGGGGCCTGGTATTGGTGTCCAGTGCAATCGCCTTAATTCAGAGCTGCTCCCAGCCAGATACTCCACCAGCCTCCATGACCTCCAACTCCAAGTGCTACCAGCAAACAGCTCTCACCCTCTCCAGGTCAACAGCAGAAACTTTAGGCTGCCCTGCCTCGCCCACCCTTCTCTGGGGACGGGTTTGATGGGACAGAAGTGTTCACTGAAGATGAAATACATCAACAAAGAGCTGGTGGCTCGCAGCTCTCTCACTGTCTTCCTGTCACCAGTCCCAAGGGCCTGGGAGAAACCCTAATTTCTGGGGCCAGGCCTAGCAGGTAAGCAAGGGCAACCCCAGGGGAGCCAGCTGCCTCCTACAGTTCCCTAATGGAGCAGGCTAGAGGAGCTGCCCAGCCCAGGTGGGCACCAAGAAGCCCCATGAATGGAGGAGTATTTTTATCCTGGCAGCCATGGGGCAGGGGACAGCAGGTAGAGTTGAGGAGGGAAAGGCATGGGTGCAGAGGGCACCCTCTCTGGCCACTAACTGGCTTCTGACACCTAAGGATGTTAGTTTGTCTCTGCCACTCCTAGGGCTGACAACCCACAAGCAACGCATGTGAACCACATCTGGCCAGACTTGGATGAGGCAGGAGAAAGATTAGAGGATGGGAAGCCAGGAAGTATGGAGGGCTCTGTGGCTCTACTGGGCAGGCCTCCAAAGGCCCTGAGCACAGGGCTCAAGGCAGTCTGGGAAGTGGCCTGAGTGTCCCCTCATAGTGAACAAGAGCTGGGAGGTGGCCCACTGAGCCTAAGAAAGCAGCCTTGAGTGGTTGTCAAGACAAAGAGCTGGAATGGGCAGTGGGGTACTTCACCTGATGGGTGGCTCCATCCATTGCTCATACTGCTGAGGTCCAGCTGAGCATATAGAGGATCATTGCCATGGGGAGGATGCCAAGAGATGTGGAAGGAAGGACAGGGTGAAGGAAGGGCAACTCACCTCAAACTTTCCAGGGTTCTGCTGTAGCTTCACCTTGCCTCCTGACAGGTACTGCCAAGCACGGCCACGCAGAGAAGGTGGGATGCCCTTCTGGCACCGCAGACGGATCTGCAAGTCAAAAGGGAGGCTGTGCCATGCATCCCCCTGGGCGACTCCCCCAGAGGATGCATGCCAGCCCAGCCCCTCTGCTAATGCTGGGTAGGCTATCAGTGAGCACATTAGCAAGAGCAGAAAGGGGTTTTGAGAAAAGAGGACTTCCCTACTGTTGCTACAATGCAGATCCTATGATTGGAGCGTGTGTGACTGCAATTAAATATGCTGCCACCAGGTGATGGCAGAGTCCCCACATCCCTTGGTCCAGTGACAACACAGGTATTCCTGAGGTCTACCACAGAATTCTGAATCCCTAACACCACTTTCTGAATCAAAATGGAACCATACAGGTTGGAGGAGCCTCATGAGATGTCACAAGGAAGGGATCTGCACAGTGCGGGGCACAGCTACAGCCACAGAGAGGGTAGCTCATGAGATGACCAAGAGTGTGGATGGGGCACTTTCATAGGGGTGTTTGTTTAAGCAGCCATGTAGCAGGACGGAGCCAGCCTAGAGAAGGGAGATCTCGCTTGGCACAACTCAGAAGACGGGGGCTGATCAGAATGGCTCCCTCTTTGTTTTGGTCAAGAATCCCCTCTTCTGCTCTCCCTGATCCTGAACTCCCACGATCATCAGCCTGAAGCACAGGCAGCTGGCCTGGGTGCTAAAATGGCACAGGTCTTCCCCACCACTCAAAGGCTGGGAGAGGTGAGGAAGGAAGTGTTTTGGGAGTAGCTCATGACCCAGAGCTAGTGTTCAATTCATATGCTAGCTATTTTTATGAGAAAAAGACTTCCACTGCCAAAACCCTGTCTGAAAAACTACCACGTCTCTTACAAATGGGAAAACTGAGGCAAAGAGTGAGAAAATATTAAAGTCACAACATCAGAGGTGACCACACTGTAGAGGACCCCACTACCTCCACACAGGCTGGAGGGATCCAGCCCCATGCACTTTCCACTTCACTGGCCTCATGGAGCGTAGGCAGGGAGGCAAACTCCCCGGTGCTGGGGGCTGAATGAGGCTCTGAGGCAGCTGCCCTGATTGTCCTCCATGACTTCAAGGCCAAAGGTCAAGAAAGATGAGAACAAAGGTAGAGAGGCACCACTCCTATAGCATAGGGGTCGGGGGATAGACACTCCCCCCAACCCCTGCACTAAGCAGCTGGGCCTTGGATGAAAGAGATTGGTGCTCAGGGGAGTGGGAAGAGTACCTAGATCTGGGTTTGAATCCAACACTGACCTTGAGCCAATCACTTCTCATTAATAGTAAGATCAGAATGATAATACCTAGGATGCTATTAAAATGGGGGGGGGGGGAACCATGCCTAGCAGAATGTCTTCAACAAACGATGGCTTCCTCTCTACCCCTCCATCCCAGGAGGGTGCCTGACACAGGAGCCCCAGTGCTTTGGGCTATCACCTAACTTCCCCTCACCTGGAAACTCCCTCAAACAGTCCCGTTAAAAACTCTCAAAGGAGAGAACACAGAAGGCCTGGCCTTCCTGATGACCAGTGCAAACAAGAGAAAACTTTCCAAGGGTCAGAGAGAGTCAAGAACCAGGAAGGAGACAGGCCGAAGGCAGTGGGGGGAAAGCAGAGTGGCTGGTCATAGGAGCCAAACTTAAGGTCTGGGGCTGCCAGCAAAGTGGGGAGAGAAAGAGAGCGGAAGGGAACTGCCCCAGACTCTGGGAACAGTTTCCTGCTGCTGTGGGACAAGGGTCTCTACTTAAGGAAGCCACTTGGTTTGGGCAGGTTTTGTTTGACAAAGGGATGCAGTAAGGCCCACAGTCACAGGCCCTTTAGACTCTCCCCAGGGCCAAGCTCAGCAGAGCCAGCCTCCACATCATCACAGCCCCATCATACTCAGTCGGCCTGCCGTAGGGGAGTCCAGGAACACCTTTGGTCCACTAAGGGTCTCAAAGAGGCCCTGCCCTCACTCAGTCCCAGGGCTGGGCAGTGAGATCCAGTTCAGCTAGCCTTTCCCACTCTGGCCTCTGGAATCCTCCTCAGTACAGAGGGGCTAAAGAAAGCAAGCCCCACCTGCCTGCTTTAGCAGGGAGGCAGTGGTGGGGATCAGTAGGATAAAGCAAGAATAAGTATTCAGGCAAACAAAAAGCATAAAGGATTCTTGTTCTCTGAAGCAATGCCTTGGGAAAGCAAGTCTCTGTGACAGTTGAGTGAGGCCACACCCTGCCTGCTGAACTTTGGGAGGGCCACAGCCTGAGCAGAGTCCTCGGGGGAAGACAGTGTTCCAGCCACAAGGTTCGGTCCCCCTCCTGGGGACTCAGGATGAGTCTAGAAGTGTTGGGTCTGGACACACTTCCTGAAATAGGTATTGTCCTTCCTGTGCCATGCCTTCCTCACCACAGGGAGAGCCCAAGCCTGCGCAGCCAGGCAGGAAAAGCTCCTGGGGCCAGTGCGGCCACAGCTGAGGTGACAGGAGTAGAGCAGAGGGCTAGGGCCTCTGGGTAGGGTGGGATGAAGGCTCCTGTGGTGGCCCCTGCTGGGCAGGGGTAGCCTTCAGTCTCTAACCACTGTGCCAAGGAAGCAAAGGAGAAGAGGAAGTGGTGCTGGCTGCTCTGCTGAGGAGCTTCCCAAGGAGCCCCTCTGGAATCCCCATTTGCAAGGACCCTGTGGCAAGGCCAGAGCCACCGGTCAACACAACAGACAGTGGAGAGGGAGCTGCAGCTCAGGGTAAGAAGCTGAAGACCCCAGAGTCAGACAGGAGGCACTCAAAAAACAGCTGTCCTTAAAAAAAGAAGAAGAGAAAGACAGGAAGACTTTCTAACAAGCAAAACCCACATGGAACAAGAAAAGCCCAGGCCTGGGTGCACCTCTCTTTCCATGGGCACAAGGCTTTATAGTCACCATCTCGTAGGACCTTTGCAACAGGATTGTCAGTCCCACTTGACCAGGGAAACTGAGGCTGTAAGGGTGAAGTGACTCACCCAAGGTTACACAGCTAGCCACGGGCATAAAGAGAGGAAGGCAGCGGGGCTGGGCCCAAGTCCATACCTGACCTTTGATCTTGATCTTTCTTCTAGGCCATGCCGCCAGCTGTGCCAGCCTGGACCACACCAGCATGTCAGCTGATGACAGTCAGCCGGCAGGTTTGCTCTCTGCACTGGGAACTTGTGCAGAGAGATCCCAGCTGTGAGGGTCTGGGCCGGCCTCCACTAGGCCAGGGAGTAACTAGACCCTGCTGAGGTGGACTAGGGCATCAACACACACACACACACACACACACACACACACACGAGTGGTGGGCAAGAACATTCCTTTGGGGCAATAGACTGGGTGCCTAACGATAACCAGACTAGTAAAGGCCCATTGGGTGTTTTCATTGTTATGACTATTAAACTGTGAGGTTACTTTTCTTTCTGTTTGCTTTGGCCAAGAGGCAAGAGGAAACTCATCAAACTAATCTAGAGGGTGAAGAAGTCCCCTTACTGTGGTGGTGAAGAATGTAGGCCCTAAAATTAGACACCTACATTCAAATTTTGATTCTGCACGTCATCTGTAAAGATACTGCTACTACCAACCTCATTGGGGCATTATAAGGATTATCCAAGTCAAGTGCCCAGCACACGACATGGCAAATGTTCAAAACATGTTAGCTATTATTGGTATTATAAAGTCCTCCCTGATAGGTGGTAAGCAGCAATAAGGAATTCTCCAAGGAGGGATGGAGGAAAGCTGCCTAAAAGGGCTTTTGGCTAAGAGCAGCTTTGAAGTTTGACTCCAGGACAAAGTTTGCATGAGTCATCTGGGAGGACCAAGTGAAAGCTGGGCCCTGCCCGCCAAACAGCTTCTGTTCCCATTTCAGAGCTGGTAGGTCAGTCCTAAGGCAACTGACAGTTGGAGAAGCCCATGCTCCTCCAAGCCGATGTAGTTCCTCTCTCTTCCTCCCCAGTTACCAACTCCCAGCCCAAGGCCCAAGGGCAGACCCCTCACCTTTTTGTGCTTCTTGGCCATCCACTTGTCCCAGTTGTTGAGCATGTCCAGCCACTTGGACTCCCTCTGCCTCAGCACCTCCAGGGGGACTTCCTCTAGCCTGTGGAGCAGAGAGCAGGGCCCATTAGAGGTGCCAAGAGAAGCAAAGGCCCTGGCTTAGGCCTCAGTCACCAGTCTAGTCAGGCTTCCTTTCTTCCCCCTGCCCTCTATCCCTACCGTTCCCTTGGGGGCTGCTAACTCAAGAACACCCTAACACAGATCAGAGGAAATTCTGGCCCTCCCTAAAGGCATAGGCCAGAGAGACAACCAAGTTCAAGTGCCCACTCCCCCAGTGTGTCAAGGGGCTAAGGGTCACCATGCCTCTCTAGGGCAGAGGCCTGAGTGCCTGCATCTGTGCGCCAAAGCAAAGCATTCCTGTCCTGGGTCTGTCTTGATAAATAAGCCTCTTCAGAGGGCGTACGTGCAAGGTGCAGAGTTGGACGAAAAAACTAGTCAAACAAGTACAGAAATAACATGCTCACCTCTTCACGCCAGCAAAACTAGTTACTCATAGTTTCCCCAATTACACCCTGGCCCTTTCCCCCCTTTCAAGCTGTGCTCATGCTAGTCCCTTTGCGGGAATGCTCTCCAAGTTTTATCTACCTATCAAAATCCCACACACACATCAAAGCCCCATCAAATACCACTTGTATTTGTACATCTACTAACTGAGCAGTTATCACAGCAGTGTCAGCATGGTTCTAGGGCCAGGGCCTCTGGGAAGGCTGTGGGGAAGCATTCCTGTGACTAGAACAAAGTCCTGGCCCTCATAGCGTTAACATTCTATTGGCACTGAGTGCCCACTAGAGCTGGTGGGGAAAACAGCTCAGCATGGAGGCCCACCCCAGGCAGGCAGATGGGCACCAGGGCAGCAGAGGCAGGCTGGGGGAGAATCCCTGGCTTTGCCAGAAGGCACTTCAAGTGAGTAGGCTTCCTCTAAGGAGGGAGTCCCCAGGAATTCATGAGTTCACCTAACTCTGAGGGGCAAAGAGAAGGAGGAGACTCCCATTTGTAGGCTGGGTATTTATATATGCTTTCCTATTTAGCTTATTTAGCCTATACAGAGCAATACTGGTAAAACAACAACAAAATGTATGTGTGTACCTCTCGCCACACACACTCTCTCTTTTAAAGGTTATTTTTAAAATAACTTTTTGTGGATTATGGATCTTTTGAATTTCTTTTTTGGTGCTTTTTATGGTTTTTTTTTTTTTTCCATTTAAAAAAGTACTTGATTGTATTAAAAGGTAAGATATCCAGAGAGGGTATCTTATTCAGAGTCAAACAGCAAATCAGTGGAAAAACCCAGACTCAAATCCATGTCAGATCCTAGCCAAGAGCCTGCACTCAGTCCCGCCTGACCTCCCAGAAAGGAGCACAGGGTCGAAGGCAATGAGGTGGCTGGGAGGAGGCTCTCAGGAACAGGACATGGTGGAGCTAGGGTTGGCTCAGGCCTCAGTTCTGATTCTCTCTCTGCCGGAAGGAAATGCATTGCTGTGACTTTTACTGGTTGGAAGAGCAGGGGGAGGGGCCCTGGCAGAGTAGAGGCCTCTATGAGGCCTTTGAGACACAAAAGGGCAGGTCCTCTTCAGTGCAATTTATCTGGAGAACTGCACAAGCCTGAGAGCAGCCTCAGAGCTGAACAGCTGAGGGAAGACAGCCTGGGGCAAACCTGGCTGCCCTGGACACACTGATGACCCTGGTCTTGAACTTCTGACTCTCTCACCACGTTAGAGACCTAACCACGACATGAGGACACTCCCTTTCCCTCTGTGAAAGGAGAAAAGCAGAGAACACCCCATTAGATCGGGTAATTTACAAAAGGACATGTATCTCCAGGCAACCCCCAAACATCCAGGGAGTGGAAACCGAAGAACCACAAATCACAGGCCATGTTGCTTTCTACCACCTACAAAGCACTTGATTATACAAGTTAGGGGATGAGCCTTCTAGTTAACTAAATGAAAGGGAGTTCCCACACTGAGTCAACAGGAAGTTCTGGCAGTTATGGATAGCTGATCCATATCCTCCCACTGAGCAGATGAGAAAACTAAGGCTCACCGAGGACAAGGCTTTTGCTGAGATTAGAATTTCCAAAGAATTCCCTTGTTATTAAATAAAGAATTCCCTTGTTATTAATGTGCCCATTTGACACCTCAACCCTCAGGTCTGTCTTTGTTGATAAGATCTGATGCAGGGCCTCAGAGATAGTCATTCTCCCAAATGCAGATACACAGGGAAACACATTCAAGGTTAGTGGGTTTTTCTGTTGCTTCTTTTTTGTTTTTTTTTTAACTGATGCCAGATAGCAGCTTTGGCAGTTTCAAAGTTCCAACATCAAACCTCAAACCGGAATTTCACTTGGGTACAAAACAAACGACTGTATTTCCTGGATTCTAAAACACTACTGATTTTAAGTTACACTATCGATTTGGCAAGATCTTCTCAGAAACATACAAAAAATCCACCACTACTTTAAATGTACATGTCAACCGAAAGAGTCTGTTTTGATTTTTAAAGCCTTAAACTGGTAAAATTTTGAGGAAATAAGGTCATTTGAATGGCTTCTCCCTCCAACAGCAGCAGAGTTTAACCCACCTGGAGAGGGTGAGAAGGAAGACACTGGAGGTCTGGGTGTACCAAGCACTGAGTACATCACATGCTCTCTAACCATGGGTAGGCTTTTCTCATATTATGCACAGGATGTGCTCCTGAGGAGTTGTAGGTTATCTACTTTTTAAAAATCAGAAGGTTCATGTCTCCTTCAGGCTAGTCAGTCAGGACCTCAGAAGGCATCTGATCAGACTGCTATCTGATATAGGAGTCCCTTCTATAACAGGTAAGTCCCTTTCCCTCTCTGAGTCTCAGTTTCCCTTATATGATTGGATGGCCTGTGTTGTGAACTGACCTTCAAAGGATGCCCAGAAAGGAGCCGTGAGATGAAGCTGAAGTCAGGTGTCCCTACAAACAGCATAACGGGGTAGAGGCCCTGAGGTGACTTCTTCCTGATAGTGGAAGAAGAGCACCAGCCAGTTTCTAGTGCCAAGGAAGCTGACTAAAAGGCCAGTTTCAGGATCCAAATGGCCCATGGGGGATGTTTCAGGTCTGAGGGCTTCACTCACCCTTCACAAGACCCCTTTCCTTAAGGTGGCCTGAGAGAGTCTCTGCAACCAAAAGAACCTAATGAGGATAGTCTCTAGTGGCCCAGCCTCTGCTGGATGGAATGCCTCCAGGGATAGGGCCTCATTATCTCCAGATGAAGCCACCCTATTATTGAAGTTTCTTGAAAAGTTAACAAATTTTCTTCCCCATGTACTGCCAAAATTTTCCTGGTAACTTCTTACACCCCCTAGTAAGGCTGCATAATTCTCAGCCAGACCAGTCTCATACCAGGCATACACATCCTTATTTATCCCTTGTCACCAACCCATCCTCCCTGGATTGTCCCTTCTTCTCCCTTCTCCAAGTCACAGTAACCCTTTCAGGGCCCAATATAACAATAAAAACCAAAACTTCAATAATAACAGCAGCAATAGTAGTTACCATTTGTACATCATTTATATACTATTTGCCAATTTCTTGCTAAATGCTTTATATATATTATCTCATGTACATTTCATAATAACCCTACCATAATATAAGATAATTCTCTACATTTTATAACAGTAGAATTCAAGACTTAGTGAGGTTAAGTGCCTCATTCAAGGCCATGTAGCTAGAGGTAAGTGACAGAGCTGGGATTCAAACCCAGGTCTGCCTGATTCCACAGCCCATGCTCCAGACCCTGATACAACACCGCTCTGTCCCTACAGGCCACACCCTCAGCCTCTACACCTGCCCAGATCTCATTAACTATCTTGGAACCTAAAGACCTTCATCCTGACTTAGAACACCATTTCTCAAAGTTTTTAAGAGGCCCACAGTAAGAAAATACATTTTATACTGAGATTTTACACACGCGCGCGTGTGCACGCGAACATGCAACCAAAATATATTTTATGAAATAATTTACTCTTACATGTACTCATGCACTTGGATATTTTCAGTTCAATTTTATATTATTCTATTCTATTTCTTCCTCCTCTTCCTCCGCCTCCTCCTGCTTCTTTTTTTTTTTTTTTAAGATTTTTATTAGGGAATTGGGAGAATGGGAACAGTGCGGGGGAATTGGGGGAAGGTGAACAGACAAGTTGCTGTCATTTTGTTCTTCAGTCTAGTTGTGGAGGACGTTGCTTCACTGGCCCAAGTTGGCACCATCATTGCGCTCTTCCCGGGCGAGGCAGATCAGTCGCCGGCTTCTGGATGGCCGCTCACTGCAGCTGCTAGCCGCTCACGCTGGCTGCTGGCTACACACGGTAGCCCATGGCAAGCCACTGCCACAGGGGCTGCAGCCTCCGCCGTCGCCGGCGACTCACGGCAGCCCAGCTCCAGGTTGAGCTGTTGTTCAGCATCTTAGCTGTAGAGAGCAGTGTCACTGGCCCTCATATGTGGGATCCGAACCGGGGCCCTCTGGCATCCCAAGCCAGTTCTTAACCATCGCGCCACTCGGCCGGCCCTCCTCCTGCTTCTTTTTAATGCTGCTCTCAATCTCCTAAAATTTATTTTAGCACTAATTCATTAATGAATCAAGACATGAAGTCTGAAATTGAATATTTCATTGCACCTTGCTCATATTGGTCAGCACTGTCCTTCCCTAACTGGATGGGATCTTGAACTTCTGTAACTCCCACCATGCACCCCACAGGTGTTCAACAGGTGCCTGCCTGGTTTTCGCTATGACAGCATTACTTTCATCTGCATTGTATTGAGGGGTATTAGCCACTGCTGCCTATAGCAATTTTATTTGTGCCCCTAATACCCCAGTAAGGTGAATCCCTCATAGATTAATAACTGTTTCCATTTGGCCCATGAGAAATTTGACCCAGTTTGAGAGGTTGTATGACTTGGGCAAAGTCACAAAGCGAATAAATGGCAGACAGGGCTTCCCCTCTGCCATAGTGACTCATGTGCTGCTTCTGACTCCCCTGGGAAGGCTGTGGGGAAATCAGGCTGTTCTAAAGA